CCCAAGGAGATGGGGGCATGGGGAGGCTCTCCTGAGGGTCACTCACCCTGAGCTGGCTCTTTCTCAGCTGCTGCTCTGCGCTGTGCCCAGCAGCCGCCCTTGAAGACCATTGGAACCTGCAGCTGGTCCACAATGCAGCAGCGGGAGCAGTTGCAGGCACATCCTGGTGCGCCACGGAGCCCCGCTGCCTTATACACTGTGCTGATCCTCAGTGGGCCTCCGAGCGCAAGTCCAGGTGCTGGTGGTCGCCCACGAAGCCCTTTGCAGCACCGACCAGGACATGCGCAGGACCGTCTGTCTCCCACCGTCCCTGCCATCTGAAAGGTTGGACAGGGCTGGCACACTCTGGGTCCCTTCGGTTAACCAGCGTCCTGCGGGGGGACCCAGGAGATGCCTCTGTGTTCATGGACCGCGTACCAATAGATTATTTGTGGTGTAACGTCAATGCAACGTAAGCCTTTCGCAGGATGAATGGTGGAGGGGAGGGAAAGTTTGGCAGGTGGCAGTGGGATGCACCTGAGGGAGGCCACGGCCTTGGAAATGAGGCCGGCCCGGCTGCTCTGAGTGTGTCCCAAGGGGCTTTGAACCGCTCGGTCGGGAGACCGCAGTCCTGGAACGGTCCCCCACCATGGGCAGGGGCTCAGGCCAAATACCGAACGGCCCCTACTCCTGCACGGTGCCAAGAAATCCCAAGGGACAAGGAGCGCAAGGTGCAGGATAGGGCGGAGACGGCCTCGGTCGTGACCTGTGCCTATACTTTCCTCCATTCTGTATTAGTGAATAAATATAAGTGCTCTTCTCCTTTAATTGTAATCTTTAATTCCTTCTGGTTCCCTCTAGTGTCCAACCTTCAAAATCCCATCTTATCATATATATTTTTTAAGTATTCAAAACAACAGCATTTTCTTATAGGAAGGATTCTTATAATTAATTTCAAAATCTTATTTCAAATCCAACTGGACCCTTAGTCCATTTGTAACTTTCCAAAATCAATGCTCTAATCACCTTTTTGCTGTTTATCCCAAAGTAAGAATTTTTAAAATCCTTAAACTTGTATAAAACGTCTTTTGCTAAGGGTTGAAGGAAATTCACCCAGTGTAGTAAAACTTGCCATTAAGAAGGTTCCTAATATCCAAAAATGTAATTAACAAGCACTTTCCAAAGGTGATTAAGAAAGGAATTATGCAAGTCCCGTGTCCTTTTTAAAGGCGCTGAGCCGTGACTTGGGCCACCGTGGCATGCTCTCATCTCCCAGTGCTCTCAACCCACCGGAGACCGCTGTTTTGAGGTCTCCTCATGAGGGGCAGCAGTCTGGGGCACTTGCGAGTGATCCCAGCCCTCTCCTTTGTCTGGAGAGGGGCCACAACGAGTTGGGTTTTCACTCGGGCTCTTCGTTCTGTTGTGGTCGTTGGCTCCACTCCGCGGAGCTGTCTTCAGTTTGCCATTTCTTCCCCAGAAGTCCAGGCAGAGCGATTGATCGATGGATCAAATTTATATGCAACTGCAATCTCAGGACTCTCTCAGTGGCTCACAAATAGCATACAATAAAATATGGGATATAAAGATGGAACAGTGCCCCCCTCCAACACAAAGCATGTCATCAGGCCCAAAGGGCCTTGAGAAGAACTCTGCTTTGTTTTTTCCAGAAGGTAGATAATGTCAGAGACAGATGAACCTCCAGCGGGAGGCCATTCCACAGTATCGGGGCAACCACCAAGAACCCCAGCCTGCTGGCCCACACCCCTGTCATCTTGACTAAGCCCTTTCTCCACATTCTTACAGGGCAGCAGAATCACCTGCTGGGCATAGGCCTTGCAATAATACCTGCAGGATGGTTACAGCCTCCCTGCCTCCTTCTCCTTCCACATAGCCAGCATTACCACCTGGGTAGCAGAGAAAAGAGGTTTCAGCCAAGAAGAACCTTTCATGAGAAAGAGTCAAGCAACTGTTTTCTACTTTGGCTCATCGTATTATTGATCCATGAGTTGATCAAGCCTGATCAGCAAGGGCAGGGAGAGAGCAAACTCACGCAACATCGGCTGTGGAGTCCCGTGTTATGCTAGTGGGGAGGGAAATGGACAGGAGCACCAATCTAATGATGGAAAATGACTGACTGTTGTGCTTATCTATGAGATTTGTATGTCACTGTAATCATATACAGGACTCCCAGCAGTTGACAATATAAGCATAAGAACAGAACAAAACAGGATAATAAATAATATGAAATCATACACAGGAACAAATTATAATCTAGTTCCCTTATTCCCTGTTGCGGTTTTGCTGTCCGCATCAGGGTGGGCCACTCATGGGGTCTCGACAGGCGAGAGTGAAGACAAACACGCAGGTTTTCCTCGAGGTGAGTGAGCCCAGAGCGTGTTCTGAACTACTCTTTTATTGGGTATTACAAGTCAGGAAGCAGGTGGTGGGGGCAGGTTGTGGGGGCATATAGCCTTTTATAGTCATGCAACAGCTTTAAGCA